AAATAAATTTAAATTTTTTTAAAAATTGTAATTTAGTAAAATAAAATAATGTTTTTTAAAATATAATTTTTTTAATATAATTTACTACCAAGTGGTAAGATTTTTTTGGTTATTAAGTCCATCGTTCTATTTGAAGCCAATAAAACATCAAATTTGCCCATTCAAAATCTCCATTCTTCAATATCCCAGGTTCATATATGATACCACACATTGGATTTTTAAACATCACTCAAGAATATCAGGAGAAGAAAACAAAGAGATGTATTAACCAAGTAAAAGCATATAACAGTAAATGATAATATATGAGAAGAAACATGCATCTCAAACGTTAGCATAATAAAGCAATTCAGTTTGATCAGCCACATGAAAATGCTCATAGACCAACCATTCGACCATTTTTAATTTTTATCTTATTGCCAAATTTGGACATATAGTAAGTAAACATAATTATACATGCGGGATGGAACTTAGATGAAATATCAAAAATCCATATTGGAAGTGATTGTTTAGAATCAAGAAATTATATATGTAGTGATAGCATAAATATTTTTTATATTAAGATCCAATTGCAAATCATGTTATACTATCTCGTTGACTTTTCTAATAACTATCTTGTTGATAGGGGGAGCAATATGAGTGTTAAACCCAATCCCTGATGTGTTTGGTTTTTTCTAATGACAACACATTGATTGTAACAACACATGTATGTTGTCATGAAACAACAGAAATGTGTATTAGTGATTAATACATATATTGGTATGTAAATGTTTCATGATGAATAATACATATGATGACATGTTGTTTGGTCTGCATACTATTATGATATTGATTGTGTTTATATCTTCTATATGCATACTAAATATTTTAATGTGATAAAATCACAAGCAAAAAGCAACTCGGTATGCAATAATCGATTACAGTGATATCAATTAAGTTCATCAAACAACTTATGTTTTAAATTGTGGCAAAACAACAAGTTTTAACCGATTACATTAAGTGAATAATAGATTAAAACTCGTGTCTTTGCAAACATCTTTTTGAAATGTGTTGTGATGAGTTTTGATGTGAAAATGTTTTCAAAATCTGTTTAAGTGTATAGCTTAATCGATTACACTATTTATGTAATCAATTAAGTTTGTTATTATTTGACAATTGTTTTCAAGCTAAGTCATAACAGTGATAACGGTCATATTTTTCAAATATTTTGACTAGCATTTATTAGCAATCAATTACATTAAACGTGCATTCAATTAGAATTGTTTTAATTCTGATTTTGTTATAACTGTAAATAATATAACCAATTACATTACTTACGTAATCGATTGAATTGCGTCTGATATGAGAAAAACTATAAATTGACGCACTACACACTACTCTCAAGAATTTTGGTCATTCTAAACTTTCATATATGATATTTGTGATTTCAGAAAAGAACTAAAGGTGTGTTGAGACGCTCCAAGAAAAAGGATATACAGAAGTTGATTGTCTTGAAGGTTTCTTGAAGAACAAATTGGGTTTTCACTGCTGATCAACTACTACACTACTAAGGTGTACTATTGCCTGATCAGATTTCGCTATTAGCAATCTTGGATTGTGTTGTTCCCTGTACGTGCAGCAGGAAGAAGAGCGAGGAGTTCTTTATACTTTGAGAGGTGTCTCAAAGGGGTGACTGCAGAAGAGGATTATTCTTGCTGTAGGGTATTGTTATTGGCTATATTATATTAGTGAGTTAGAGAGGTGGTTTACATTTTGATAGATTGGTCGCTGTAAAGCCTTGGTGTAAAAACTCGTATCTTTATAGTGCAATTGGCGTTCAATCTCAAGTTTATTGAAAGGACACTAGATGTAGGCATTGAGGCCGAACCAATATAAACTATGTGTTTATATTTCTTTCCTTATCTCTTTTGCTTTCATTGCATGCGCTTTATTGCTTGGATTACAAGAAAGATTAAAGATCATTCTTAGTTTGCGAAAAGATTTTAAAAGCAATTGTTTTTTATTGATTACCAATTCACCCCCCTCTTGGTAAGAGAAATAAGGCAATTCTTTTCTAACAATTGACACTAGAGCAGGTTTTGTGAAATCGATTAATTGATCTTGATGGCCTCGTTTCCTTAATCATGAGAAAGAGTGAATTTGATAATGAGTGTGTGTATGTTACTTGTAACGATAAATGCATTTCTATTACTAATGATTTTTATGAGTCTTTTAAGACAATGATATTTCAAAAATCCTCTCAGGAAAGAAAAATTGGCATCAACATTCTAGAACCTAAATAAAAGGAAGTTGATTTGCTGAAAAATTCACCAGATTCCTGAACATAAAGAAGACAAATATAGATCTCAAGGGTGATCAGAAGATGAGCAAGGACCAAGATTTACAGGATGTTGATCTTAGTATTATGGCAAAGTCAAACATAGCTATTACAAGTTCTGAACAAGATGAAAAGCAATCCATGAGGTATCTGAATAATGGATGTTCGAGACATATGACAAGTGATCCAACCAGATTCACAAGTCTCTCTCACAAGACAAGCGGCCATGTTACTTTTGGTGACAATAACAAGGGTAAAATCATTGGAATTGGTAAAATCCAAACATCATCTTCATATGAAATTGAAAACGTGTTGCTTGTTTTAGGACTAAAACATAATTTGCAGATAAGTGCTTCCTTTGCCTTGTGTGCATAGGAAGGGTTGTTCGGGTATTGAACCTTCCTTGTGTGGGGGTGATGTCTTCCTTGTCCTTGTGTGGTAGGATTACATGTTCCTTAGTTGGATTGCGGGACTACTCGGGCATATTTGTATAGGAAATCTATAGATGGGGTTGAAGAAGCGACTATAGTTGGTGAGGTAGGATACATGAGTGGGACTAACTCTTTTCACTATGGTATTTATGGTACGATGATGCTCATGGTGTTGTTCATGACTGGGATAGTCATGATGGTGGTGTATCTATGATGTTGATCATGGTAATTGAGATGCTTCAGGTGATGCTATGTTGATAGTGGTGTTATGATAACGGTTTAAAATACTGTTATCTGTGATGTAATTTTGATACTAAATGCACCCTTTTTTACTTAGAAACTTGCTTTGACTCATGTTTTTGCTTTAGTTTTGTGAATAAAAGAGTTGAGGTTATACTTGATGATTTTATCACCAAATTCCCTTGATTTTGTAGGCTATTGGAATGATTTGAAGGAAGAGTTAAAGTACCAAATACTTGGAAAGCAGAAAAGTCAACCAGAGTGCAGAAAAGTCAACCGAAGTGTAGAAAAGTCAACCGCGAAGCTTGGGCGCCCAGGAGGCTTGAGCGGCCAGAAATCGACGTCCACCGCTCGGGTGCCCAAAAAGGGGTGCCCGAGCAGCGTGCGTTGTGGATTAGGCCCAATTTTTGCTCGGTTTCGACTCTTTTGGACCGGGCCCTGTTTCTACTCTTTTCCGACTCTATTTAAAGGATCCAGGCACTCTAGGTTTAGTATCTTTTGATGGCTTGAGCACAGAAACACATTTTTCACCCCTTGGGGGTAGATTTGGGGATGGTGACAGCTCTCCTGTTCCTGAAGGGTAGATTTGGGGATGGTGAAAGCTCTCCTTTTCTCTTTTTAGGATTTTTCTATCTCTTCCATTTTTTCATTGCATTGTAATTCTATTTGTTGATTGAGGGATGATGTAACCTTGTAAACTCTCATGTATTTGAATTGATTCTTAATTTATATGCTTTATTCATTATTTGTTAGGGAATTCATCTATTTCTAATGCATACTCTATTTAACTCATTTACTGCATGATTTATGAATTACATGAGTGCCGGGAGGTTCCTTACAATTCAGGTTCTTGTTGAATTCTCCCAAGGGTAATATTTCTTAGGGATGAGGGTATGAGTACTTGGTCGTCTTAAGCTCTTGATCTTCAGACTTAATTTTCTAGGAACGCTAGGAATTGCACGAACTAGGAATTAAGGTAGGCTTATTGCGCCAAGGGATTGGGTTCTAAGTACTTTAGTGAGTGACGTTAACATTAATGCATAAAAAAGAATTCTTATATACATGAGAGTAAACTTGGTGAAATCAAACCCCAACAACATATTCATCTCATATTATCAACTTCATCCATTCATTCTTGTGTTTAGCTTCAATTGATCAAATTGCATTCATGTTTATTTTATTGTATTTGCATTCAAAAACCCCAAAATATGTTCTTTAGAGTCTTAATTAGTTGAGTAATCACATAACTGTTTAGTGTCATGAGTCCTCTGGGATACGATACTTGGTATTACTATTTTATATTACTTGTGCGATTTGGTACACTTGCCAATCCATCAACATGTTACTATAATGGTTATAGTAGGTAGTTAGCTTAGGTGCTAATGAGTGGATAGACCAAGGGTCTATGTGTGAGATGTTAGTGATGACGTCAAGTTTCAAGGGTCAAGGATCGATGATTGAAGATCAAAGATCGAGAATTGAGTAATTCATTATGATTAAGTTATGTTAGAGGATTAGAAATCTTGTTGTTATTCTTGTTGGGTATAGGGTGGTTTATGGTTCATATATTCAATGTATTTATATCTTATTATTATGACTGTTTTATCGGTAGCTTACCCCAAACATGTTTGTGTTTGTGAATAAAATTATTGGCGATGATAGTATAATGTGTTATACATGAGCAAATGATGTTACAGATGTTCTAGAGGCGTGATAGACTCGAAAGACGAGGAGGAACAAACTTGGGATTTTAATTAAAGCTATTTTGTTTTACAAGTTAAGACAATATAATTGAAGTTATTTTATTTCCTTCGTTATTTATTTGAACAAGTTTTTTAGAACTATTATGTTTTGAATAAATTATGAATGTTTAAAAATTAAGGTTTTTGAAAAGTACATTTATGCACTATGATAAAATTTGAATTTTATCGGTTTTGTAATAATCTTGACATCTCAAAAATTAGGATGTTACACTATGCTTGTGCCTCCAACAACATCACCAACCAACTCTTCCTCAAGACACACTTGACCACTATCTACCCTATCTCTTCCATCTCCTACACCACTCCACCTTCTTGTCAAGGTAGCGTCATGAGTTTGTCACTACAAATAATATGGCTAAAAAAAGTATGAATCATGATTATAAGGAAAGTAGTGAATGAGGAATGAATATTGTTGTGGGAGATTGATTAAGGATTAAGGATTAACAATGAATGATTATTTGAAAAGAAATGGAATTAAAATCCTAATAAAATTGGGGGAAAATGAGAGTTAAAATAATAATCCTCTTTTTGCTCACTGTCTTTAATCTCCGTATGCTGACCAGGAAAGTTTACGCTTATTCCGCCCGTTAGGCCACCTCGTGTCCGTCCTCCGCCTCTTCCAATTCCTTGGCTCTTAAAATTTTGAACATTTCTGGCTTGCAATGCTTGGTCCGTGCTCTATATAGCACTCTTCTCTACAGTCTTTCTCTCGATCAAACGCTGTTCATGCGCTTCAAGAGAGTTCTTTAGTTCTTCCACTCTCATCGTTTCCAGGTCTTTGCTTTCTTCTATAGCCACAACAATGTGATCATACTAGGGTGTCAACGTTCTCAATCTTCTTATCTTTTACAATCTTGTCACAAGCCCGCATTGCATTTACCACGATCTGAATTCTTCCAACGTATTCTTCAATCGTTTTTTGCTCTCCCATACTCAAGAGCTCATATTGCCTTTGCAAGGATTGTAATCTGACCTTCTTAACTCTTCCAAAATTTCCATATCCCTCTTGCAATATTTCCCAAACTTCCTTGGCTGTGACTACTTTCAATACTTTCTAAAAGATTGCCGCAGAAACACACTGGTGCAACAACATTCTTGCCTTGCAATCTAGTTTCTTGTTTTCTTTATACGTTTTCTTCACTTCCTTTGAATCCCCTTTTGAAGGTTCTTTAAAACCTTTCTTGACAACTTCATCGACTTCTTGGAAACCCATGATGGCATCCATCTTCACACACCAATCATCATAGTTCTTACCATCGAACATTGGTAAGTTGGTTTGAATCATCCCTGCCATCACTTCTCCACGGGAACTCTTCTTCAGTAAAACAAGTTCTTTGACTTTCGATGCTTCACCAGGTTATCGAACCTATTGCTCTGGATACCATTGTTAACGTATAGTGGTGTGTGTAATACGGAAGATGAAGGAATGAAGAGTACTCAGAGAGAGAACAGTAAGTGCACCAAGAATATGAGAACGAAGATTAGTTCTTATTTAGAAGAAAGTTGCCTTATATAATAGGCACAATACAGAAGATAACAAACATGATTGTATTTTACAGTTTATTAGATTTGGATTATTTACAATATGGACAACAATTTTAATGATGCAATAGTGAAACTGTCATGTAGTAAGGAAAAAGAGATTTGCACTGAGAAGGGAGAAAAATTACAATGAAAAAAGGAAAAGTTAAAGTTGTTATCAGAAGATAGATGTAGAAGTAAAGAATTCTAATAACACTATTTACTATTGAGGATATTTTATATTTTTTTATAAAGTTAAGACACATACATACAGGATACAATTTTAATAAATAATTAAAAAAACATATTTAACCTTAAAATTTTAATAAAAAAGAATATTTATTATACATATTTCAAATTATATTTAAAATGCTTTTAGAAATTATAATAAGAAGACATGCTTACCATACATACATACATACACACACACACACATATATATATATATTTATATATATATATATATA